AATTTGATGGGACTAAACTAAAAATTTGTTAAATTTAACTGATAGCTAGAAACTAGTAGCTAAAAGTTTTGAAAAAACTAAAAGTTATTTGAAGTTGTTTTTTGATTTAAAGTTTTTTTTTTATATAATAAAATCTAAATGTTCTTATTGATTAATTACAAATAATAACAACATATTTTCATTATATTATTAATTACCATAACATCTTTTTTAATTATATAATGGTAAAGTTATGCCGCTTAGACGTTAATGAAATAGTCTTCTCATGTTAAACGATTCAAAAGATTATATATATATATATATATATATATATATATATATATATATATATATATATATCAACCTTATACTTTATAAATAATATGTTGATATGTTACTCAGTATGTAAAAAAGAAGATACATTCCAAGTTTATTTATTTTCACATACGAATAGTTTGAAATTATAATAAATATGAGAATATTTACATTTCAATTATAATATGAGAATATTTACATTTCATTGATTTTATTTTAATGACTTAAAATTTAAAATTAGTGATGGTTATTATTATTTTGTTTATTTTACAGCAACAACAAGTTGAATCTAATGGCACACAGCAAGAAGATTAGTGGAGAGTCAAAACAGGATTCCCCTGAAATGCTTCTTCCATCACTGATCAGATCTGCAGATGCCAACCAAATTCTGGATTTTGATGGTGATCTTTTCAACCAAAATGCCTCAAATTCTCATTTTATGGTATGTTTTTAACATAAAAACTCTAACACAATTGGTGAAGATTATAACTTAAATTAGTAATATAAAAATTGTTGACTGGCTAACTCAAATACTTTTACTATAAATCTACTTAAAGTTGTAATTTTGGCAGGAGCCCAATGGAAACGAGATTGAAAGCCCGGATGACATTTCGAATCAACAAAGAAAACAATATGTTTCAGTTTCAGTTAGCATTCCACCTTCGCCACTTGATGCCAAAAGAGTTTTGTTCAAAGAGGAACATGAAGCAACCGGAATCCATAGCCTGAAAAATCCAGACATCATGTCCAACACCCATGAGCTCAAATTTAATCCACAGTCCGTCGTGACGCACACGACGGGCTGTGGAATTGATGAGACGGGGCGGGGGAAATCCCCAGACTGTCTCATCCTCCCAGTGAAGAACACTAGGATGGATGGATTGAAGGACAACAGATACAACTCATTCAAAACATGGTCGCGTCGACTTGAGAGACAACTTTCCACGTTACGTGGAAAATCATGCAACGATCTAGAGATAAACCCTCCCCAAAATCTTCAAGGGGAGAGTTTATCCGTAGACAGATACTTCGATGCTTTAGAAGGACCAGAGTTGGAGACTCTTAGGGTATACTCGAATCCTTTTTGTTCTGTTCAATACAAAATAATTTGAAATAATTTATATAAATACATGTGGATCTTGATTTTATTTTATTACAAATCGGTATTTAAAAATATCATTTCTGTTTAACAGCCTTCTGAGGAAATAATGCTCCCCAAAGACAAAAAATGGCCGTTTCTTCTTCGTTACCCGGTCTCATCATTTGGTATATGTCTCGGTGTTAGTAGCCAAGCGGTAATGTGGAAGCATTTAGCCTCAACCGCTTCGACACATTTCCTTCATATAAGCCTTAGAGTGAACTATACTCTATGGTGCATATCGGTCCTTCTTTTCGCAGTTGTGGCCTCAACATACCTTCTAAAAGTGATCTTTTACTTTGAAGCCGTTCGAAGAGAATACTACCACCCGATTAGAGTTAACTTCTTTTTTGCCCCGTGGATCGCATTACTCTTTTTGGCTATTGGAGTTCCCGATAGTATCACTACAAAGTTGCCTTACTCTTTATGGTACATGTTAATGACACCGATTTTATGTCTAGAGCTCAAGATTTATGGGCAGTGGATGTCGGGTGGGCAACGGCGGTTGTCCAATGTGGCGAACCCGTCCAACCACCTATCGGTGGTTGGGAACTTTGTCGGGGCTCTGTTGGGGGCATCAATGGGACTAAAGGAAGGCCCGATTTTCTTCTTTGCGGTTGGGTTGGCTCATTATACAGTTTTGTTTGTGACATTGTATCAAAGACTTCCAACTAACGAAACCCTCCCGAAAGAGCTTCATCCTGTTTTCTTTCTATTTGTTGCCGCTCCAAGTGTTGCCTCGATGGCATGGGCCAAAATCAATGGATCGTTTGATTATGGGTCGCGTATCGCATACTTCATTGCCTTGTTTCTCTATTTTTCACTGGTAAGTTCAAATTATCATTATTTGATTAAAGTTATAGCCCTACAAAAGGATCCCAATGGTTGGGAAGTGGAATCCTATAAAGGATTTTCATCTTAATGTCTCGGACTCATTTGACGGTTGGTGTTTTGCCATTTACCTCTCACGTGATAGTCGTTGGACATGTGCATCGTGGGACCACCAGCGATATAGACCTATGGTTTACCTTTTTTATTCAATTAAATTTTTAAAATTTTATATGTGGAGTTTGCAAATTCCACCAATCCCATCTCCAGCCCTAACACAAAATGCACACAAATTATAAATTTTATCCTTAATTTTTGTTTTCCAAATATGGTTGGAGTTGCTCTAATATCTATATATTTGTAGGCCGTTCGTGTAAATTTCTTTCGGGGATTCCGGTTCTCATTGGCGTGGTGGGCTTACACATTCCCAATGACCGGAGCTGCAATCGCCACAATTAGATACTCAACTGAGGTCTCGAACATAGTAACCAAGTCGTTATCAGTAACCCTGTCAACAGCTGCTACGGTTACAGTGACAGGGCTACTGATAACAACAATTGTTCACGCTTTTGTGTTGCGAGACCTTTTCCCGAACGACATTGGGATTGCAATTAGTGACCGGAAACCAAAAACACAACGGAAATGGTTTCACCGGGGCACATGTGGCTCAGTCAAAGATGTTGAAGACCCCTTTAAATCCGTGAACTCCAGCGATGAAAAGGCTGAGGAGGATCCGGTGGCATTTTCGGGATTAAATGTAGAACCGATATCAATAAGAGTAATGTAAGTGATACACACGGTTTGAGTGATTAGTCAAAGGAGGAACTTAGTTTAGAAAAGTTCCAATGAACTTGGATGTATATAGTATGGCTTTTACACAATATAAAATATAAGCATGTTGTTGTTTTGTCGAAATTTATTTGCTCGAACGTTTCATTTTTACTATTTCTTTTTTCATAAATGAAAAAGGTAAATTGCAAAAAACAACTACAAATTTACAGTTTTGACTTTGATCAACAAATGTGACATGTTTTATCAAGTTGATGTAAAAAATAACATTTTCTTTTAACCTTTTAGAGTAGTTTGCACTTTGCACACAGAATTAAGTCTATAAATATTGAAAAGATTGACATGCGATCGTGTATAATGTATACCATTAAATACTTAACTTCTATTTATTCAAAATCAATATATGTATATGTATAGAATAATATTTAAGCAAACCCTTTTCCCCTACCAGCCACATCGCATCTCCGACGTCTATCTTGATATCTCGTCTACTGCTTCCATTGAAGATTTGAAGCATTGACCATCGAGCTTTATTAAATCCGCAAATCTGAAGACCCATTTCACCATTTGCCAGGAGCTCAGGACTAGGAACTAAAGCCCATTAATCCATCTTTTTTTTTTCTTTTGTAGATCCATGATAGCCGGACTATATCGTATTGGGTTTGTCTTGAGTCTTGAGCAATTCCGAGCACAGTCCCACACAGGCCTTGGACCCTGGTTAAGTGCAGTCTTTCGTAAGTTCCGATCTTGCTTCTACCCAAGGTCCAAATATAAGGCCCAACTTAGATGCAACAGGCTCAACTATTCTTATGCGGAACCGGTTTTGAACCGGATTTTAATATATCCGTTTCGAGTTTATCTTATCCGCCGGTTAAGGAGCTAATTCCTTTGAGATTTTGAAACCAGATTTGAGGGCCAAACTTTTTTCTCCGGAAAAATACATGGTTTCGGATATAATCAATTGGCAAAAACATTTTTCTTTAACCTTCCATATAGCCTTTATTCTGCTCTATAGCCGCATTAACCCTAAAAAATGATAAATTTATTAATAGGTTTTGGTGCACTTGGTTTCAACAAGCCGAAAAAACGAAAGAAAAAAAATCGTCTGTTCTCGACGTTGTTCGCAATATCATACCTTCGACTTATTTCTCCAATTTTCATTATCAAAATGGCAACCACACAATCTTTTGTTTCCACTTCTATCAGTACAACTAGAGAACTCTAGATCAAAATCTAAACAAATGTCAATACGGTAGAAGTTCGTAAATATACCCGAAACAAAAGTATTTGGTGTAATCTCAATTATTGCATCTTGATTCTTGAACGACGTAGAGGAAAAGTTCGATGTAAAAACAATATGGCAAGTTTTATAATCCTACTGAAAACACAACACGACACTGAAATCATTTGATGAAAGCTTGCCATCCAAGGAACGCTTCCATTTGACCATTTCCACAACCTTGACTTACGAAAATTTTCCGAACAAAGCGTCAACCACGTTATAATCCGATAACTAGTACTAGCCTTATAAAATATGCAATAAAGTTTTGGACCAAACCAAAACAATAAATGATTTTAGGTTACAAAAATTATACAATATTGTTTTTTTTTTTTTACATATGACCTTTGGACTGTTTCTCATAGAAATATCAATTTGTGTCTACTTGTTAATGGACATTGGTACAACCTACAAAGTAGGGTCATGAAGAAACGGAATTTTGAGTTAAAATTTGTTTGGTTATCTGCGATTCAGTCAAAATTTATATAAAATTTTACATGACTTAGGTGGTGTTTGTTTTTTTGAATCTAAATTTTATAAAGTCTGCGTACCACCTATGCAACCCTCTGCAGCAGAAGAGGTGGACCAAACGGCTGCAGTCTGTAATAAGAAGTTTGTTTGTTTTTTAACCTACGTAAGCTGCTACAATAAACCGAAATTTAAATAAACTAATTTTACAAAATTAAAATAGTTTTTCAACACCAAAATTTTAATAATTCCATTTTTACAACATTGAAATAAAATTCATTACATTTTTATAAAAACATTCAATACTATAAAATGCTATTGACACTATTTACAAATAAATGAATTAACATTAAAATTATATTGTTTTAGGCTAAATAATGTGTTTGTGAGTTTCTTCAAATTGCTCTTGATTTTGGAGCTCCTTCACAAAATCTTGATTCTAACATTTAGAACAACATTCTCTTTGCTTCTGCATGCCTTTGCTTCACCTGCTCCACAAATACAAGTGTCATAAATACATCACATTTTTATCGGCATACTTCTAATTACAAGCATAAATACATCATATTTTTACATTTTTATAAAGAAATTATAAAGATGTGCCAATAGCTTCGTAACAAGAACAAGCAAAGACCATTTCATCATTTGACCATTTGCATTTGTTACTAGAGATGTACCAGGTAAGACCAAATAAAATGCAATTAAATTAAACATCAATAGTCTCTCAAGCATTTCATAGAGCACCTGTAATGCACAACTTGTTTCCCTCAAAAATTACTACCACTAGATGGATAAAGATCTATCCCACTCTTTAGACATCCAATCCAACAAAGAAAGGAAACATATACATGGGTAGAAGCAAATTAGTATAACAAAAATCAGATTTCTCATTGACATTCATCAAATCAGAAAATCGATTTTGAGCAAGTCTATATATTTCAACAAATTAGAAAAACCGTTTCAGCAAATCAATTTCAAAAATAAAGAGCATTAAATCGATTATAGCAAATCAAAAATCAAAAACCGATTTTAGAAAAGCAGAAATCAAAAATCGATTTCAGAAATCAGGAGCATTACATCATAAATCAGAAAAAAAAAATCAAGAAGGGTACCTGATGTGAATATCGATGTGAACAGGAGCGTCGATGTGAACAGGAGCGCCGATCATAACAGAAATCGACATAGCAAGAAAATCGATTTTGTCATACTTGACGACGATGTCGACGATCGAAAACGCAGTAGTGGTGCGCCGACGAGGAACATGCCCTACAATGGTGTGTCGGCGGAGGGCTGAAGTCGACGAGGGGTGGAGAGCGACGGTCGAAAGTGCAGAGGGAAGAAGGATGGTGCAAAGGAAGAAGATGGTGCTAATACTTTTGGGACACAACATGAGGATGTGATGATGATGACGACGATGATGATGATGAGGATGATAAGAGTGAGGATGAGGGAGTTTGATTTTGGTTTTTAGTTGTATTTTTACTTTTTTCCAGACATTTCGTATGGTTGTAGGATATTGTATCTTGATATTTATGTATTTTTATATTATTTTGGGTTTTTTAATCTCTTTTTAGTTTATCAATTATCGAATTTAAGCCCTGTTATGCATTAGTCCAACCAAGATTACACAAAGGTGATCAATCTATGTCTAGTCATGGTTCGACCCGTGTACAATAACGTCGCTAAGATAATAGCTTCATATTCCGTGATTTTGTTTTGTATTTATGCTCTTTTATTTGTGTGCTTTAAATTCTTATTTTGTACCTCTAGACTATTAGATAAGGATTAGTTTGGTAGGAAGAGTCGGATGGTAGGACCATTTTAGTGTATAACTGTTCTGAAATCCAACAACCCAAATGACGGAGTTCGTTTGGATGGATCGTTTGATCCGATCTGATCAAGTAAATCCAAATAGATTTCAGTTTTCAAAACATGGATATGAATAGTCTAAACTAAATTCAAATCCGATCAGATCCAACCAAATTACAATTCGGTAAGATCGGTTTTACAATTCGGTTTTTAAGAGGCGAGATATTTTAAAAAATATATAATTTAAATATTTGTCAACTCTATAAATGTATCTAAAAAAACTTTTTAATTATGAATTATGATTTATAAACAACTACTAAGAAAATTTGATTTAGTTTTAATATTTCATTGACAAAAAACTATTCATAAGAAGTACATATTAAGATATTATATTGGATGAAAGTTTTTAATAATTAAAAATAATAATTTAGTAGATTTATAAATGATTAAAGATATATATTAAAAATAAATAAAGAGTTGTTATTCGCTTTTTTGGGACTATTCGGTTCTTATTTTATAAACCAAAATCAATCGGAAATCCAAATAATAATTCGTTTTAGCTTAAAATCAATCCAAAAATCTGAATAACCGAACCAAATTGTCTAATTGTCTAATTGGACAATTTGGTTTTAACCAAATAGTGAACAACCCTAAACTCAAGGCAACAGTTCCATTCTTGACACCTTTCCCTAAGTAGTCTATTGGTAGTGTAATTAACAATAATAGTTTTGTTTATAGGTTTGAGAACAAACCTTATCAGAGTATATGTCCTAGGCTATATTCGTAATTTCCTAAGAAAATACTAATTCGTTATAACCTATGGCTCTGATACCATTCTGTCACACCCCCGGCCGGCGGAGGCATCGTCGGGCGGTACGGCGTTCGTTCAGTTTTACATTCGTATACATAATACCTTTTATTACCAAACAGAAGTTACATTTGATCTGTACATGATATAAGCTATCTATTTCCATGGGACTTGTTTCTCCTCTGTAGCGATTTTCTATCCTTCGGTTCCTTAGGAATACACGTGGTTTTGAAAACGGTCAACATAATGTTTTTGAATTCATAGTTTTTTATAAACATTGAAAACACACTTTAAAAAGTTTTCAGTATAGGATTTTTGTTTACGAATAGGACTTTATACTTTCATAACTCCTCTTATTCCTATGAGTTTGGCTTGTAATGGTCATCTCTGTTTAAAAACGTGAGTTATTATCCATTTGTCATTATCCTTCTATTACAACCCTAGTTTTCCATAAGAGCTGAGGTAATCTGGTTTTATATTGTCTTGTTATCCCAGGATATATTCTTCTTACACATAAATGATTTCGTATAGGTATTTGATAAGGTACTAAAGTAGCATTATCATTGTTCTTAGGTATATTTGGTACTCTTTGTATATTAATATTATAATTTATCTTCTCAGATATATCACCCCTTTCGTATATCTCTTAGTATATTACTTTTCTCATCAGGTTTTCACCCTTTTCGCATATTGCTACATACTATTACTACTTCAAGGCATTCCCTCTAGGTAGTTTAATTATTTAAGGTTGGATGAATAACGTTACAATGAGTTCCTATAATCGATCTTTCAACTTGATATTTTCCCCGCACGACGCTTCATCTGCAGTGATTCGACCATCAAGGTTGTAGCTAGCAATTGCAGGTGGGGATGTCAGTCCCATATAGATCTATACATATCTTTCCCTCTCACTTAAGATTTAATTATTATAGGTCGGGGTTAGCTGAAAGCTAATCAGCTAAAGGATGAATAGAGTCGTTCTCATGTAATACAGTTTTGTTTAGCCTTATAGCATGCTTTATTGTTCTTCGATATCATTCCCATAGTTTTAATCTCCTTGGTTTTGATTTCATTCCATATTTATATATATATATATATATATATATTATATATATATATATATATATATATATATATATAATCGTTTGGTTATTTTGTTAGGATATTCAGACAGAGTAACGACTAGGTACTATGTTACCCTAGAGGATTGGCCAACATAACGACTAGGTACTATGTTACCCTACTGATTTGATCAGCATAACGGCTAGGTACTATGTTACCCTAGTGTTTTGGTCAGAGAATCTACTAGGTATATTATTATCCTAGGGTTTTTTTTTTGCAGTATAATGAGTAGGCATAATATCAATCCTAACGTTTCATGTGTTTTGTAAATTACTGATATAATGTAAATGATAATACTTTACAAAATCAATGATGTATAAGTTTAACATGTATTCCCCTCATAAAATTTTTGAAAATTGTAAATGTGGGGTCGTGAACTTACCATTGTCGTGTGCTCTTACTGACTCGGGAATTCGCATTGGGAGGCTCGAGCCATTCAGAAGAAGGGAAATTCTTATGGTCGGATATGAGAGAGGAGAGGGTGTTTTGAGGTGTGAAAAATGAAGAGGTAAGGGCCTCTATCTATAGGGGAGTTTTTGGGTTCGTGTCGCGCACACACACGTTGGCTCTTCTCAGAACTCGACATGTGCACTCTCTCGTTTGTCCACGTCTCCCGTATCTCAATGAATCCGATCTACAGTCGTGTGCGTCGTGCGTTGCGCACACGATTTATTGTTTTTCAAGAATTTGTATCTCTTTTATACGATCTCCATTTTCAATGTTTTCTATATCAACGCGAAGGTCTCAACGATTTCTACAACTTTCCTTTAGGTTGATTCGGCCGAATTGTACTTTATTTTTAGCCAAATTTTTATAATTCTAAATGATTTTTGCAAAAATCATATATTTCTTGTACGGACTCCGTTTCTGACCTTATTTGTCTCATTGGTCTTATAACAAGGATTACTTTGATTTTCCTTTACAAAGGTTTGTCTTAAACTCAACCAAATTTCTTTTGGCTTTTTACATCACAATATTTTGTGTGTGGTTGACTTTTATAAAAGTCATATCTTTTCCATACGGAGTCGAATTTTTATTAATTTTATATTTATGGATCGCGCCAATGCATATTATCTGAACGTGTTAATATATTTATTTGGTGTTACGACTTTCCGCTTCCTTAATTCTTGGCCTTTTAGCTCAAACTGTCATATTTTGACTAGTACGCCAGGGAAAAGTTGTATATTTTTATTGATAAACATTATATTTTTAACTATCCTGGTTAGTTGTTGTTGAGTTATTTACCTCAGTTGTCACACATTCCTACTGTTAGAAGCACAACCTAAAAAACATTTAATCCACAACTGTAAGCACAAAGCTTAGTGAGTTTACCAAAAATATCACAAACATCACAATAATAGCTATACATGTAAGTATTAGGCCTCTTTAACTCACGGCCAATTCCGATCTCGTTATCATCCCAATTAGGTACTCTTCGACTCTCGGTCTGCCTCGATCATGTCATCAGCCCAACAAGTCACATAAAATACCGATCAACACGCAAACAGACGAAAACCACAAAACACCAATCTATAATCAAGGCCATACTAGTCTAACCAAGTATACTAACATGACATAGTATTACACATGCATCCAACACACAGAGGATCCAATGATGACATAACTAATATAGTGATAAGCCTGACATGAATCTAATAACAACAATATCACCATCTCAAACAATAACAACTAGCCCAAAACACCTATAACTAAATAGATGTCAACCTTAGACTATAGCTCAAATCCCCACAAGTTTGACCGAAAGTCAAAATTGGTCAAAATAGTTAATGGTCATCATGTTGTGGCTAAACCTTGGTCGTGTCGTGACCACTTAGCGACAAAATAGTCGTGAGTGCCTCGAGATTGCGTCGTGAGCCGCGAATCTGGTCTTCCTTGTTATGGGCTTAATCCCTTAAGTCTAGAACTCAAAACTTAAAATATGATTCTCACAACGGTCTTAATGGATAAAGTTTCCAACTTTATCTATAAACAAGGCTTAATCATCCAATAATCTAAACCCTAAGTCCAAAACTCATCAAAAAGGTTCAAACCAACGTGCATGGCTCAAGGTAAGTACATGCATGCCCTTTTTCTCCAAGAAGCAAGGTCCAGAAACATCAAAACATAACCAATATGCTTTGGAGTTCTCCAAACTCCAAAAACACAAGGATAAAGGGATCAAAATGCCCCCAAGCCAACCATAACCTTGATCTAGCAATACAAAATCATAAATGTGGTAGCTTTATACTCACAAAAGGTCCAAATGAAGATTAACTTGTCTGAACACCAAAGAATCACACTCTAAAACACTTCTTCTAGCTTATTCTCCCTTGATCTTCACAAAATGAACACCAAATCGCAAAATCTATCAAATAGGGGCTAGGGTTTAACGAGAGAATGTTCTCTAGAGGTGGAGGCTGGCAAATGACGAAAACCTAAGGAGTTGTGCACTTAAATAGGCCAAAATCCCAATCCCTCTAGGGTTTGGCCCATCAGGCCCTTCGCATCGTAAGTTTCATTAAAGGTCACGTCATGCCCTCTAAATTCGCCGCCCCGCTACTCAGAGAGAACCCCAAAAAAACTTAATAATTCTCATTAATACATAATAGCATTCCTGAAAATCGGATGTTACAATTTATTTGGATAGAGTTCAATTTATTTTTTCAAAAAAATATCATAGAAACAATCATATTATTTAGATATTTGATTTTTAACTGATTTCGAATCTGATTATGTTGGATCTATAAGTTCTCA